GGCTAACATCACTTACAACGTAACTTACAAATAGGGGCAATATCTACAGCTCATTACTAGCTCTTCAGAAACACCAAGTACCACATAATTAACCACTTTGTGAAGATAATGAGTTTTTGATGGCTGGCCCCTAAGCTACTCTCTGAGGGATATTATACTGATGCTGTTCTCAGTGAAATCGGTTCTGATGTGTTGATGGGGTCCAATATCTACCTGGGGAAGTTTCATTTCTCATTGGTGTACACCTTCTGCTCATTGTGGATTGATTTGGGAAATACTGGATAATAGCATACACCCGACTCATGATAGAGGTGAAGGGCTTGTCTGTGCTGTGGTCCTTTGTACAGCTGTGCTGGTACATCAGCTTCATAAAGGCAACTCTGCTGGTCCAGATGATGAGATCTGTGCTGGATAGTGTTACTGGTACTAATACAGAGAAGATGCAAATGAAAACACACCCTGAAAGTGATCAATGCAAGTAAGGAGATTCTAGAAATTTTTAAAAAGTTTCTGTCCCTGTTTCCCCTCCTCAGATCTGTACTGCACATTAGAGGTGGATTCTTTTGGGTATTTTGTGAACAAGGCTAAAACTAGAGTTTACAGAGACACCACGGAACCCAACTGGAATGAGGTAGGTTGGATTTTTCTTTGTGACTTGTCCCATGTGCCAAACATCAACGCACGATGGGCAGAAAACCTGCAAATGGAAGAACTTGCTGCATGCTCAGCACTTGTGCTGCATATATTGCCTCTCAGAAAACACTTTTATGCCAGTTTCATTTGACTGTCAGGGCTTGCAGAAAATTTTCTTTTGGGTTATCTATAGTTCAACAAACTTTTCAGTACAATTGAGTCTTATCCAGCATTTCATCATTTAAACAGATGCATGTTTGATTATTTTTTTAAAGACACAAGTGAAAATATGTTGAAAAAGGCGGTGTTTTTGTTTATTTGTTGTGAGGGGGAAGAATTAGCTATAGACATTTTGCCTGTTTACAGCCAACTCAAACCTGCTGCGGAGCAAAATTAAATACAAGGAAGGTGGGTGAGTTTGTTTCTTTGAATGATGCTTTGCTGAAACTCAGTGAAACCTGACTAAGCAGTGAACCATCTTAGTCTCTGATATGACCACCTTATTATATAAAATACAATTTCGGTTTATTTCTAGACCAACTCCATTAGGAAGGAGATTTTGGTCAGTCCTTAAGTTCTCCCTCCTGACAAGTTTCAAGGAGACTATATTGATTATTAAGAGACTAGTTTCTGCTGTTATGTATTCATTGCTCTTTCCTTTCCTGGTACTGTGCAGGAGTTTGAGATTGAGCTGGAAGGCTCACAAACTCTGCGGATTTTGTGCTATGAAAAGTGCTACAACAAAACCAAGCTCACCAAAGAGGACGGAGAGAGCACAGATCGCATAATGGGGAAAGGACAGATCCAGGTAAGACTGTGCTTAACAAAAAAAACATAACAGGATTTTTGAATCCTGGAGTGCACCAGGGAGATTTTTTTCCTGCCTCCTGATTGTCTCAGCATTGGAGATTTTTCTCCAGATAGTAAGGTATACAGTGTGATTCACAGGCAGGAAGTCAGCAGCTTTTTCCCTCTTGCCTTGTCCCCTATGCCTATTTCAGTACCTTTATGGCGTAGATGTTTTTTCATGAAAATTTACGTTTTGGTCTCTGATTTGTCTGTTAACTTCAAAACTTCCAGCACAGTATATAGGAACTGCACTGTCACTGAGCCCTGGGCACTGTTGAGGATGCTCCACTTGTGACAAAAGAGGAAGCCATGAATATACTATCCCCTCTGTAAATCATGTGGAAGAAATGCTGCCTTCTGTACGTGCTGGAAGTTGATTGATGTGATAGCTAAGCCTTGGAGGACAGGCTTATTGTCCTGATAACTGCCATGTCCAGAGTTTAGTGTCCGGGACAACAGGCTGCATCTGAGAGAGTTTTCCACTGCTGAGAATCAGCACGGGACACTTTGTCTATGTGGCAAATTTGTAATACAATAGGGGAGGTGATGAGACGATTGCAAACGGATGCTGCTTTCAGGGAGCTGCTGTGTGAAAAAGCGTTAAAGCTCCATGCAGGAGAAATCAGGCCACTCAGTGGAGGACAACATGGAGAACATATGTACCCCTCTTCTTCCAGTTTGTTGCACTGTCTGTCCACAGCGTTAGGAGGGTGTTTAAATGCTTGCTCTGAGAACACATTCTTTGTGTTGGACTCGCTATTGTATAGAGCAGAGACCCTCCCAGATACCTTTTTCTTTCTGGCATGCTGAAAAATACCACCAGTTCTCCTCCATTTACATTTGACTCTTCATCACTCCATGGATGACAGCTTTCTCCAACATTTGAGTGATGGTCACACAGGCCAAGGCTATGTGGGATTTCAGAAACAGCTCTGATTAAGGGTGGCCTGCAGGACTGTATCTCACCTTCGCTCTAGAAGGGTTCATTGTCTAAATAAGTTTCATTCAACCTGTTCCTTTCCCTCCCTCCTTGCAGCCCTGAGGCTGCCATGCCATTTTCAGGGAAAGCTTTTGTCGCCAAATGCATGGTGAGTGTTTGAAAGAGAACTTGTGTACAAATCAATAAATCTAGTACAGGGTGCCTCCTATGTATGTCTCTCAAGCTAACCAGAAATCTGTATGTCCCTTCTGCTTACAAAAGCTTATTTTCCACAGAGCTGAACAACTACAAAAGAGGAAGTTTTCAGCCCTGAAATGCCCTGGAGATTTGTGTGCTCATATTGGAGTACCCTGAAATCCCCTCTAAATTATTCAAATATTTTACATAGAATGATTAAAAAATGAATAAAATCTTTTAAATTTTCAGCAAATTTTTTTTCACAAGAGTGGGCAATTTTATGCACAGCACTTGTACATTCTGTTAAAACATTTTATGCTTAAGTTAATAAGTAAAAATATTCTTTGGTGACACTTGAATATTAATTGCTTCTTAATTGTTTTAGAGAAACCTAAACAGTGGAAAGTGAAAAAATCAATAAAAATGTGTTTTATTAATATGCAAAAGTTGCATTCTGTTGTATCATAAAAGGCAAATGCAAAAGTTCTCTAGCTTTCAGTAAATTCCCCTTACAATTTATAAAGAAACTTGGTGAACTCTCAGAACATCCTCTTAATTCTCAGTGATTTCTGTCCCATCACACAACTTTTTAACACTATTGAATAATTGCAAAGAGAAGTCATAAGAGAGTCTGGTAAGATTTTGGGTTGATAAGAATTATTAAAGGGTTTTATTTTGTTTTATTTTTAAAGCAAACACCATTTCTCTATTAAGAAATCATAATAATGCAACAACAAAATCAAATTACAACCTATGGCTGAAGGTTAGCTGTATTAATGCTGTCAGCACCTTTTCCAATCACTGGTTTTATAGTAATTTTCTTTCAGGATTTTTCCTTGCTTTTACATTAAGTTTTGTTTACTTTAGAATTGCTAGTGTATCTAGGGCTCTCTGTTTTGTTGTTATTGCATTGTCATTATTCAGCCAAAGTCTGTCACGTGTAAACGCAAGGTCTGTGAAGTTGGATGAGGTTTTTTTTTCCTAAATTCCCTTTAGTTAAAAACTCTGGGAACATCAAAAGTTGTGTCTGCATCCTCCTGCGGATAAAAACAGGGAAATTTCTGTTTTGGCTAAATCGCAATGTATTGTTAAGCCATGTATTATTGTAAATCTGCAACTTCCCACTACTGGGATTTCTGACTCACCAAATTTTCTGAGCTGCAGTGATGAAGACAATGCATCAAGGAGACGAGGACTGTTTTGGCTGTGAAATGTTTATTAAATCTCTCTGTTACATACTGGCATTGGAGGAAGGAAGACTGGAAATTGGTCCATGTGGTCAGAAGCTTCCAGGAATGGGCAGCAATTTTAATAGCTCCCATTGCTCATATTTTCTTTTCCTATGGAATATTTTATTTACCTGGTTTTATAGCCACAGTCAAGAGCTTCATTGCTTGCCAACCTGCAAGTTTTATCCCTGAAAAATAAAACCACAAGGTTTTAATATGGGAGAACCTCCTGTAAATGTAGAAGTGAAGTCCTCATCAGACCTTCTGGGAATGGCAGCACTGGATGTGCAGTGTTTAACTAGGCAGCACGCATCGTTGGGGGCTTCTGTTACATCTCGGGCCTGAAAAATACGGAGAGAAGGTGCCATTCCTGGGTACACTGTGAAACTGAAATTATTGGGGGGCTTGGGGGAGGAAGAAATGGATATCATTGTATAGGAGGAAACGTGAGGCTTGGTTCAGTTGTAAGCATCAGCTCCTCTCATTTTGAACTCTCTTTTTTTTTTTCATTCCCCTTTCTGTTGTTACCTTACAATCCATCTTCTGCACTTGGGAGGCTGGCCCTTTTGCTCTTTGAATTTTGCACTTCATGTGGCAGGCACGACCCCATGTTTTGAGTGTAGCAGCCTTTTGTTTGGTCCTGAGACTCTGCATCTAAGGGAGCACATATGTCAGCAAAACTGGCCTCTGCCTTGGGAACAGACTGCATGAGTAAACTGATACTTCATCCTGTGATCTATCTCCTCCACTTGGTGCCTCCTAGAAATGCTGTTTCCTTTGATTTGTTTTTTTGTTTGTTTGTTTTGTTTTGTTTTGTTTTTTTTCTGCATGATCAGCTTAGGCAAATCATTTCCTTCCTGCTGGAAAATCAGAGAGGATATGACCCTAGATCAGTCATTCTGTGGTAGCAGTGCAACACCATTCCTCTGTTGCCATGCAAAACAATCACTCTTATCTGATTAATTATCTGGGATGTCTCATAGCAGTGCACATAGCTATTTCAGACATCTAGGTTGCTTTCCATGTAAAACAGATTGTCACATGCTGTACCTCCCAAGTGTTGACTCAGAAAACCTTTTACACACTGGAGTTCATTTAAACAGTTTGCTCATGCAGAACAGTATCCCAGCAATGAAAATAAGGTGGAAATGAAGAAAGCAATGGGTCATGTCTAAAGGGCGATGGCAGGAAAGATTAAGATGTCAGTGGGGAGGTTTGAGAAGAATGGGGTTATGGCTGGACTGGGAGTTTCTAGCAGCAGTAAGACTCTGACAACATGTATGTCACATCAGTTACAATTAAAAATTGATGGAGTGTAAAGTTGCCAGGGAGATATAATAAAGGGAGGAAGTAATGTGAATAAATAGCATAAAACACACTAACCTTAAGGTTGCCTCAGTCCTTGCTCCCCGGCATTTCATTTCCATTGATGCGTCTTTGTTTTTATTTCTTTCTGTATGTTTTCTCTTCTTGGGAAAAAAAAAAAATCATCAAACTCTGTGGTGGCTTCCTAAGGCAGAGCACAGACTCCCTTCTTCTTAGTGCCTGGCTAGCCTTAGATGCCTTGACCAGCATCCTCAGTTCACCTTTTTCCCAGGTCCTCACCACTCTGTGTTCTGCACACTCAGCCTCTACTGACTGCTATACACTAATTGTCTGTCTTAATTCAGTGCTAAGCTGCTGTGAGGGCCAGCAACTTGCACCCAGAAATCCCTGTGGTGCTGAGCTGCTTTGTTCTGTTGTTTTGTGCAGGATACAGAGAGGCATTTGCTTGATTCATTAGTGAATTTGGGGCTGTAGCTTGCCACTGCAAATGCCAAAGAACAGGCCACAAGGGGACTGGAGGTGCTGGGGGAGTAAAGACAAACTGGTTTGTTTGTATTTTTCCTGCGCAGCATGCACTTTTGGTGGGGTCTGTGCAAACAAGCCCGTGAGATAGAGTCTTTGAGGGTTTTAGCAGGTCTATGCGATTTGCATAGGTCATGGAAACAACACAATTTTTCACAGTTTCAGTGGAGATGGGACAGGTCCTTTTGTCACTCAAACCAAGCAACTGTTTGAAAGAAATGTTTAGAGGTGCAGTAAATTACACTGTCAAATTAATGCAGAGCAGCCATTTCACAGTGCCTCTCCCTGCTTGAGCTGGCAAAGCGAGTGCTATGTGCTTGCTCGCTTGGAGCAGCCTCCTTTTGGCACGCTGTCTGTAGATTGCATTTTTCTACTCAGTGTTCCTTCTTCCAGGTCATTGATCTCCAAATCAGGCCAGAAGACAGCATGACCCCATTTGTCACAGGCCTCTCTCTATGCCGGAGCATCATGCTCACTAACTCTTTGTCTTCAGTCTGCTTTGTAACCTGTCTGCTCCAGCTGCCCTTTCCCTGTGTTGCTCTTGCTGGCCTTAGAAGGTCAGTCATCTGTAGGGTCTAGGACTGAAAGCTTGCTCAAAGTCTAAATGACATTCGTAGTTTCCTGTTGACTCTGTTATTTCCTCCTGTGACTTTATCAGACTGCTAGACCTGATCTTCCTGTCTCACTCACTCAGTATTGCTGAGAGCTTACTCAAGCTTTGTTCTTTTATTAGCTTCCATCATTTCGCTTTGTTATTTAACAAGCACCTTGGGGGGGATTTTTTTTTTTAATTGCTATTGTTATTGTTAGTGACTTATGCAGGGTTGGCTCTGGTCAGCCAGACCCGCTCCCTGGTGCTTGTTCTCCCTAGCTGTCTCCATTCAATACAAGCTGTTCTCCAGCAGAAGTCAAACAGCAGGTGGGGAGTTAGGGAGTCCTGCCAGCCTTGCAACAGAGTTCAGAGATAAGGGAGTAAGAGGTAGCAGCAGGTACACTTGCAGTCCTCCAGTAGTTGGAGGACTTGCTCAGCTCCAGTAGTTACCCAGCAAGGAAGAGTCTCTGTGAGCTCCCAGCTCCAGCACACTGTTTTTGCTAGTCCTTTGCAGCCATATGATATTCACTCTTGAGACTTTGGCTCATACTTTTTAACAGCTATTTACTTGCTTTCGTTTTGTACAGTGGTAGGAGTTCCCTAGTCATCACCGAGACATAACCAATAATACCTGTCAGCTTAAATAAACTAACTGGACCCTGCTAGACTCTTCCTTTAACTTTTTTGGCAAATATTCAAAACTCTCTTTCACCTTCAGTCTTAAGCAGTCTCTGTCTGCTACAAATAATACACTCTCAGTGACTCCATTCTAAAAGCATATGGAAAACTGCTTCTGAGCCAGAGGATAGGCTGTGGCTGTGTCTATCAGCAGGGCCATTTTGGCAGCTTAATGAGATGACAATTTAGGCAGCTGGAGATCAAGCTTTCAGGAATACTGAGCATGGTTGCTCTTAATAGGAAACCAGACACTTCAGAAATGGTTTCCTCTTGATTCTGGGAAAGAATGCAGTTGTTGAAAGAAACCAAACTTCCAGCACGGAAATTCAGGGAAGAACTGCCTAGATTCTGGCTGACTTTGGCCAGCCGCACAGGCGGGGGCGGATCTGTTACGCCAGAGTTATAAGCAAACCCTCTTGGCAAGCAGTCTGTTATTTGGGTTTGCTAAAGCACTGAAGCTAAGCACTGCTGCCCATTGGCCTCCTGGACTTTTGTGCAGTCCTAAAATGTGGGAGCTACTGGTTACTGACTATTCCTTACAAGGGGTCTTCAGGAATTTCTGCCAGAGTTGCACCTACAGGAACCAGTCCAATTCGACAGGAAAGCATGTGTGTGCTGGCAGCATCCCACTGTGGGCTCACGTCCGTAACAAAGTGCGCAAAGATAAGGTTGGCCTGATTTGCTTGTCTGTTGCTTCTTGGGGTCTCTGCAGTGTGAGCAAGCAGGGAGAAACTTTTCTCTCTGCTAGTTGTCTTTTTTGGGGAATGGGGAAAGGCATGGGAGGACTTGTCTCTGTAGCTGTCAGCAACATTGGGCTAGTTTGTTAATGATTTAAAAGAGAGTGTGAGCATGATTGCATCTGAGATCTCCCAGAATATACTGCAGCAGCCATTGTTTCAACATTTACCTCTGCCTGTCAGAGACCTCTGCTTTTGCATGGGGTTCTGCGAGAGGGAGGAGCTGTGCTGCAGAAATAGCTGTAGCTACTGAGTGTCTTTTTGTTCACTGATGACAGTAAACTTAAAGCCTTGAGTCTAGTGCAGTTCAGTTGCCTCCTTCCAGTCTTACTGTGTCTCAGTGTTCAAGAGCCAAGTGTTACAAAGCCATCTCAGGAGGCACCGAAGTCTGCTTGCTTCGGCTGGTTCTGATTGCTGATAGAAGTCCCCATGCAGACAGGTCTTTTCTCTCTTTTGCCAGTCTAGCTTGAGCTGAGTGCCACTTTTCAGCTATTCAGATGTGTTTGGCCTCTCCCAGGCAGTATTGGAATTGCTGGGTGATGTTTGAGTACTTGAGTCAGCTGCTCCTGAGCCTCGCAACTGTCCACTCAAAAGAGATGAAGCAAAGCTGAAAATGGGAGATCAAGGGTTTGCATCAGAACTTGTTTCTGCTTAATGAATTCTTGCAATAGCAGGGCCAGGTGTTCTTCCTGCCTCCGTGCTCAAGTGGAAACAAGAAGAATAGGCAGGTTCAAGTAGGACAACTTTCTATGATTTCTGGGCTGATTTTCTCCATTTCTCCTCTGTCGGATCCTGACAGAGGTTTGGTTTGTTTAAACTCACTTGTATCTGTATGGATCACTTCATATTTCTCGTCCTTGATTTCACTGTTAGGATCATTATGTCTTTTGAATGCAGTGGAACATACTCCTTCTTGGAAGCTGTTAACTTCATAGCCAAGAGCTATGAAGTTCTCCAGCCTGGCTTTTTATTTCAGTGCAGTAATTTCACTCATCCAACCTCACCTGTCTCTAGAAAACTGCAGAGGGAGACAGTTTCCTCTATTTCAAATCAGAGTTACTTCAGAAATCTCTCCTCCCTTTTTCTGACTCCTAGCCCCGTGGGATGGGACAAATTTGGCTGTCTGTTAATGTGCCTGTTGTGCTACAGCAATAAAGGCAGTCTCTCTTTCTTTGAAAGCTGAGGTTATTGGCTTTCAAACATTGATTTTGCATGCTGAGGTTTCCTTTGTTGTTGAACAGACACTGCACGTGTTGCTGGATTTTCCATATGTGTGAGTCCTCATCAGCCCTGCTTAGAGAACCGTGCAATATCCGAGTGTCCCATTACCTGAAACCTAGGAAACCTTGAAATGTGTGTTTTCCTATGGAAAAGAAATAACTTGTTGAAAGTGGTAGTGCTCTTCTCACTTACAGAAGCCTTTCAGGCTAGCTGATTTCTCTGAAGTCTGTTCCTAGCTCATGGGTAATTTCGATGTTTTTCAGCTGGACCCACAGGCGTTGCAGGACAAAGATTGGCAACGCACAGTCATCTCAATGAATGGAGTAAGTATGGAAAACAGAAGTTAGCACTGCTTCTTCTGTGCTACTACTATCTCTTACGTGCTTTACTTCTTTGCTCTTCATTGCAGCATTAAAAAAAAAAGAAAAGAAAAGAAAAGAAAATGTTTGAAATGTAACAGCTGTTCTCTTTTATTCAGGTTGAAGTGAAGCTGTCAGTGAAGTTTACCAGTCGGGAATTTAGCCTGAAAAGGATGCCGTCCCGGAAACAGACGGGGGTTTTTGGGGTCAAGATCGCTATTGTCACGAAGTGAGCTGATGGGTCACATTTCTCCCTATTGTTTTTTAGAAAGCCAACTGGCCAGTGGGTTGCCAGTGGCCACTGAGGGATTTGTCAGTCCAGTCTGCTCCACTTGGGTAGTAGTGTAGATGGCTGTGACTGCATAAAAGAGATGCTGTACATTCTCTGAGCTTCATTTTTTGCAGGGGGAAAAAACAGTGTGTACACAGGCTTTGAAACCTGGGGTGTTTACTTGCAGCATATCACTTTTCTGAGTTCCGGAAATACCCCTTGCCCTTTTACTCTGTAGTTAGCTGACTTGGTCACAGATTTCCGGAGCCACTGAACAGTGATGTTTCCTTTCCATAATCGGAAATGTTCAAGTTCTTTGGATCCTGTGATATTATTTTAACCCCTGATCTTTTGTCATGAATCGTTTGCCAGAAGAAACCTGTTTGTTCTGTTATATAGTTTGGGAAGTGTGGTATTTCCTCCCTATGGAATTGCATTGATTTGAAAGCAACAGTGTTGGTATGTATCCAAGGAGCGTTTGGGAATCCTCTGATTACCTGCACAAAGTCGCAGACTCTAGGGGAACTAGGACCTAGCCAGAAGCTCAAGTGCTCAGGGCAGCTGCAGAACAGCCAAAGCCAGGCTGAGACACTCAGAAAACCCTCTCCAGTTTTAAAAGGAGTTTTTCAGCTCAGTCTTGATTGCCTGCTTAGACTTTCTCCCACCCTATTTTCCAGAAGAGGTTTGCACAGCAAAATGATGGGGTGATTTTAGCCAGCCTGGCTGGTTGGGGTAACAAGTGTTGAGGGCATGGGCTGTACTGAACTCTTCTATCTGGCTTTCTTAAGGAGAGAGAGATCAAAGGTGCCTTACATAGTGCGCCAGTGTGTGGAGGAGATAGAGCGGCGTGGAATGGAGGAGGTGGGCATCTACCGTGTCTCTGGGGTTGCAACCGATATCCAAGCTTTGAAAGCTGCCTTTGATGTCAGTAAGTATTTGTGTCTGATGTTTTCCTTTGCACTGTGAGAACCTGCGTGAGCTCCCTGTCAGGTGGCTATGCTATTTGTAATCTTACATTCCCCAAGAAGCATTAAGAGGTAGAGATTCTTGCACAAGGAGAATAATTTTAACCCTGGCTGCACGTTTTACTAATATTCTTCAGCTACAGATATAACCTAAGAATATAATGTGATAGATCCTTATACCAAATAATGCATTTGTTATTATTCCCAGCAGACATGAAATGTTGGGTTTGCCTGCCTTGCCAAATCTTTGTAAATGGTGGACACCTTCCCCAAGGGAAGCGGCAGCAATCAGAAGTCGTAATTTCCTCATTGTTGTGCAGTCTCCAAATTAATAGAAGTCCTTGAAATTAAGAATGTTTTGTGAAAGGAAGTCAGCAAAAAAAATTTTTTTATGGTTGATTAGGAAGTGTGTTTATGAAACTGGAATTGGGTGGTCAGGGCTCCCGAGTTCTCTTCTTAACTCTGTGTCTAGATTTATGTGAGCAGATTGTAAAATTAGATAATTTTGACCAACCTTTGTAAAGCTTTCTTTGATCTTGAGCAGAAAAGGGTTCCTTACTGGTGCTGCATTTAAAAGAATGGCGTGTGTGTCCCAAAAGGCATCCAAGATCAGGCAGATGAAACACCTCCAAATTGCTGAGGTACAAAATGTGAAATTCTGCCCTACTTCCAGCCTCCACATGATGGTCCAAGGACCGCTCAAGCCACACTCGACTGCTTTTTGATGCAAGCAGTCATGAGGCCTGTGCCAGGTGCCCAAATTCACCCTCCATGCACTTTTTCTTCACTTATTTAGTGAAATTTCTTCCTTCTTGTATTTTCTTTTCAATCCCCCTAAGCTACCATATTGATTTATGAATCTTCACTAGTGCAAGTAAGGGTGTTTCACATTTTGAAAAACAATTTTTTTCATTTATATTAAATGCTGTTTTACACTAGCTTCATGAAACCAGCACTGGCTCTGATGGTTGATCAGTTTGTTTTAGGGAAAGGGGTGGTTTTGTTGTTCTTAATAGTAACAAAAAGGAAACACTTAGAATACTTAGAATACTTAGAATCATTAAGGTTGGAAAAGACCTCTAAGATCATCGAGTCCAACCGTCCACCCAACACCACCATGCCCACTAAACCATGTCCCTAAGCACCTCATCTACACGTCTTTTAAATACCTCCAGG